CTTGTGAATATTAGATATTAGGCCTTTGTCTGACATATTGCTGGTAAAGATTTTCTCTCAGTCTGTTGGCAGTCTTTCTGTTTAGTAATATTTCCTTAACTGTGCAAAAACTTTTTAATCTGATGTAATCCCACTTGTCAAGTCTCTCCTGTTATACCCCCTAGGACTCTTTACAAGAAGTTTCTGCATATACCTGTAAGTTCTAATGCTTCTCCTATTCTCTCGCAGTAATTTCAAAGTTAGGGTACAACATTGAGGTCTTTGATCCACTTTGAGTTGATATTAGTACATGGTGACACACAGGGATCCACATTCCCAATATCAACTATTGAAGAGCTATTTTTTCCCACTGTATGTCTTTGGCTCTCTTATAAAATATCAGATAACTGTAAGTACGGGTTTTATTTCTGGGTCTTCTAATCTGTTCTATTGATTTTTTTGGGGGGGTCCGGTCATGGGGCTTGAACTCTGGGCCTTGGTGCTGTCCCTCAGCTCTTCAGCTCAAGGCTAGCGCTCTACCACTTGAGCCACAGCGCCACTTCCAGCTTTTTTCTTTTTGCTTATGTGGTGCTGAGGAATCAAACCCAGGGCCCCAGGCATGCAAGGCAAGCACTCTACCACTGAGCCACCTTCCCAGCCCCTGTTCTATTGATTTTTGAGTCTCTTTTTTTTGCTAGTACCAAGTTGTTTTTGTTATACCCCTGTGGTAGACCTTGAGGTCTGGTATTGTGATACCACTCGAATTACTTTGTTTGCCTAGAATTGCTTTGGCTATCCTAGGTCTTTTGTTTTCCATATGAAATTTTTTATTGTCTATCTTGGTAAAGAAGGTTATTGGGATCTTGGTGGGGATTACATTGAATTTCTGTATCATTTTTGGCAGTATGGCCATTTTCACAATATTGAGTCTACCTATCTATGAACATGGAAGGTCTTTTCATATCCAGGTGTTATCATTGATTTCTTTCTTCAGATTTTTATAGTTTTTACTATAAAGCTCTTTTACATCTTTGGTTAGGTTTATTCCTAGGTATTTTATTTTATTTAAGGCTATTGGAAATGGAGTTGTTTTCATGATCTCCATCTCTGCTTGTTCATTGTTGGCATACAGAAAGGCTGCTAATCTTTGTGGGTTAGTTTTGTATTCTGCTACTTTGCCAAAGTGGTTTATCAGCTCTAGGAACTTGAGGATGCAGTCGTCTTTTAGGTCCTTTAGGTATAAGATCATCTCATCTGTAAATAAGGATAATTTGAATTCTTTTTCTATGTGAATCACTTTTATGTCCTTTTCTTGCCTTATTTCTCTGACTAGAAATTCCAAAGGTATATTGAAGAGGAATGGAGAGAGTAAACATCATTGCCTTGTTCCTGATTTTAAGGGAAATGGTTTTAGTTTTTCACCATTCAGTATGATGTTGGCCGTTGATCTGTCATGTAGAGTGTATTGTTTTAAGGAAAATTCCTTTTATTCCTAGATTCTCCTGAACTTTTAACATGATTGGATGTTGGATTTTGGCAAAAGCTTTTTTTGCATCTATTTTGATGATCATTGATTCTTGTCTTTGGTTCTGTTGATGTGGTGAATTACATTTATTGATTTACATATGTTAAACCAGGCTTACATATGTGGGATGAAGCCTACTTAGTCATAATGAATTTTTTAAGAAGTTTCTGGATTCCATTGGATAGTATTTTATTGAAGAGTTTTGTATCTGTGCTCATTAAAGAGATTGGTCTGTAGTTCTTTATTTTGTTGGATCTTTACTGTTTGGGGATGAATGTGATATTGGCTTCATAGAATGAGTTTGGAACTGATCCTTCTGTTTCTATTTCACTGAAATGTTTGAGGGGTATTTGTGTTCATCTTTAAAAGTCTTCTAGAATTCAGCTGTGAATCCATTGGAGCCTGGGCTTTTCCTTTTGGAAGACTTCTGGTTTCTTAATCTCGTTGCATGTTATGGCCCTGTTTAACTGATTTATATATTCTTGGTACAGCTTAGGCAGTTGGTTTATCTCTAGAATTTGTCCATTTCTACTAGGGTTTTCTTATTTGAGTATAGGTTTTGAAAGTAGTCCTTTATAACCTTTTGGATTTCTTGGATGATTGTTGTAATATTTCCTGTGCCATCTCTAATTTATTAATGTGAATCTCTTCTTTGTCAATCTTGCTAGGGTTCTGTTAATTTCATTGATTTTTTTTCAAAAATCCAGCTCTTTTGTTTCATTGATTTTATGTATATTTTTTTAGTCTCTATTTCATTGATTTCTGTGCTAAGCTTTGCTATCTCTGAAGTATAGTAGTTTGGGATTGAATTTGTTCTTGTTTTTCTAGCAGTTTTAGTTGCATCATGAGGTTATTTACTTGAGCTGTTTCTGGTTAGAGCTATAAACTTTCCTCTCAGCACTGCTTTTGCTGTATCCCAGAGGTTCCTCTGTGATTTGTTTTCATTTTTATTGAATTGTAAAACTTTCTAATTTCCTCCTTTATTTCTTTAGTGACCTATGTGTTATACAGTAGTGTGTTAATCAGTCCCCATGTGTTTGAGTGTTTATGCAATATGTTTTGTTGGTGAAAACAGTTTTATTCCTCTGTGATCAGATAGAATGCAAGGTGTTATCTAAGTCCTCTTGTATTTGCTTAGGGCCTTTGTGTGTCCTATGATACCAGTTTTGGAGACTGTTCTTAGGCTGCTGAGAAGAATGTAAATTGGTTCATTGTTGGGTGGAATACTCTGTAGTGATATCTGTTAAGTCCATTTTGGTTCATTTAATTCTGAGGTTTATCTTCTGTTTGTTTTTTCTGTCCTTTGCTGAGAATAGAGTGTTAAAAATCTCCCACTATTATTATGTTGAGGAACCTCCATACTGCTTTCCAGAGTGGTTGAACCAGTTGACATTCCCACCAACAGTGTAGTAGTATTCCCTTTTGGCCACATCCCTGTAGGCATCTACTGTTATTTGTTTTCTTGATTATAGATGTTCTAACTGGGGTAAGGTGGTATCTCAGTGTGGTATTGATTTGTATTTCTTGTATTCCAAAGATGTTGTATTTCTCTTGTATTCCAGAGATGTTGAACATTTCTTCATGTGTCTATTGACTACTCTTATTTCTTCAGAGAAGTCTCATTTTAATTCTCCCATTGTGATTTTTATAGGCTTTTTACATAAACACAGTTTAGATTTACAGAAATTTTAGCAAGATGACATAGAGAATTCCCGTAGTCCACCACCCAGTTTCCCATTATTAATGTCTTATATCAATATGGCACAGTTGTACAGTTGGATAAACCAATATTGACACATTATTACTTACTAATGTCCATGACTTACTCAGATTGCCTTAGTTTTCACCAGATTTTCTTTTTCCTATTCCCGTATTTCGGTGAGGATACCATATTATGTTTAGTAATACGTATAGCTATAGTAGTTCCTCAAATTTTCCTTAATCTTGGTGATTGTGACAGTTATGAAAAGCACTGATTATGTTCTTGTACATGTCTCAGGACTTATATTATTCTTTTATTATTAGACTGGGGTTATGTGGGTACTGAGAAGGTCACAAGAATAAAGAGCCATTTCATCACATTATCTCAAGAGTACACAGAATTAACATGATTTGTCACTGTTGATGTTGACCTTCATTACCAGGCAGAGATGGTATTTGTTAGATTTCTGTACTATGAAGTCATTGCTCCCATGCATCCCGATCTGTTCCTTAAGATAATCTCAAGAAGGAAGGCACTTTTCACAGACTATATTTAAGCACTGATTTGACCTCACCACTATTTACTCATTTCTGTCAGGGTGAACTCATGAATCTTATACTTTGGATTATAATTTAATACTACTTAAATTACTGTATTGTATAAGTTACACAATTTTGGCTGCTGGGTATTGCCTTTAATCCTCACTATGGATTTTTGGTAGGTTGGTAGGTTGGGGTTTGGGGTTTTTTCCTTTATTTTAGAGTTCTTCCTTTTTGTTACTATATACTATTTAGTATATATACTATATATGTAGTATATACACAAGATAAGCCTGAAGTATATAGTGTATATATAGTGTGACTCTATATATATAGTATATATACACTATATAGTTAAAGCTTATCTTGTACATTTCTTGCCCCATTTTTCAGTGTTTTAGCTTTTTCTTTGAGCCAGACTGGATTCTGAAATATTATTTATTTGTACTACAGTAGCCTGAGCTATTTGTAATGAGTATATTTTCATCAAAAAAATTTCAAGAATTGTCTGTTTGCTTTGTGGTTTTTTCAGCTATGTTGAATATTTTGGGTTTTGATTTTGTTTTTATCTTATTGCAACCAAGATTGCCATCATCCATGTGTCAGAGAAGCATTTTGTTTTCTTGTGGTGCTAAGGAACAGACCTAGGGCCTTACCATGCTTCCCCTCCCCCTACACAAAAACTAACTTGCACACTCTTATACTTTCAACTTTGTATGTTGTGATTTTCTTTCTTCTTATCACTTAGCAAGAATGAACAGAAAAATGCTTTATGAGTTTTTTTCAGAATCATACCCTTATGATAAGTTTTTTTTTAATGTCTGAGTCCCAGCTGATCCAGGGAAGATATGGGATGAGCTTGAACCATCATGCTAAAACACAGAAAAATACTCAGAATAAAAAGCTAAGGTACAGTCTTAGACCTGATTTCAAGTCCCAATACTAGCATACACACAAAATAAAAAGATGAGTATTGATAGTAAGCTTCCTAAATTTAGTAAATAGTTACATTAGAAAATATTTTGTTCTTATGAAATATACAATAGCATACTGAATTCAGTAAAGGACCTTATGTCTGCAAACTCAACTTCTCAAATGATCCAATAAATAATTGTATATGTAGACAGAGTGAATGCAATACTATAAGGAGCACAACAGCAAACTGAAGTAAAGACTACATAGGAGTTCTCTAAGTCTTGAAAATTTTCTGATATTTTGAAAATACTTGAAAACAACATTCTTTTTTATGTTTTAGCTCTTTTTAAGGCACAAAATGATGTAATGTGTATGAAGGTTCAGTCAGAGAGACTTTCAAAAGAATACGACCGACTCCTGAAAGAACACTCAGAACTTCAGGTGAGTGACATAAACTCTTACATTTTTTACAAATAAACTATTCGGATTATGTGCGGTGTGGAGACATGGGTGAAGTGGTAAAGCACCTGCCTGGCCCTAAGTTCATATACCAGTACAAGAGAAAAAAAAAGTCTGTACTTAATTTTTTCTTTCTTAAATGATCTAAGAAGCCAGACTTACCTGAAGGGTGAAGTTTAAGCTACTGCAACTAAAAATAAGATAATTATAACATAAAGAATTGTTAACATGCTAACTTAGAACATTACAGTTTCAGTGAAGTTTTAAGGAAAAGAAAATTGAATCACAAAAGATAGCAGCATTAAAAAACATATGAGTTCTGGAAAGTTTTGAATTTTATTGTTCACTATATTCATGCCTAAGTGAAGTCAAAATTGAAGTTCTATACCATACTCTTGTTAACTCAGATCTGAACCATAGATTTGCTTTCTTTCTCTATCCAATTCAATAAGAGTTAACTGTAAACATTGATACTAGGCTTATTTTTTCTCTTCAGCTGTCAATTACAAAACTGAATTGATTTCCCAATAACATGTTTTTTAATAGTATTGGATGTCAAATCCAAGGCCTAGTGCTTATATAGGCAAGTACTCTACCACTGAGCTAAACCATATCCCCTCCAAGCCACACAGTACATGGGAAAATTGTGGAAGAGACTATTCTATTCCATAGGCATCCTTGGCATGTGACAAATAGTTGCTATACATGCTCATAGACTTTGAAATAGACAGACTTGAATACCTATACATGGCCTCATATTAGGTTTTTTATGTTGAGGTTATATTATCTTCCGGGAACTCGTCTTCATGTGTAAAATCAGAACAGTACCTTGTTCACTGGGTTGTTGGGAGAGCTCAGTAAAATATATAAGATACTTAGTAATGTCCATGGCTGATAATAAACAATCAAAAATATGTTTATCATAATTTGTTTATTATATCTGTTAAACATCAACCAGTGGGCTTTTCCAAAGTATCAGAAATAAGTGCCATACTGAGAGTTGAGTTGGGCCTTTTTGATAACACATGTAAGTCTTATATTCTTTTACTTTGTAGATAATTTTTGTTGTTGTTGTTGTTTTGTTTTTGGGTCCGGTCGTGGGGCCTGAACTCTGAGCCTGGGTGCTGTCCCTCAGGTCTTCAGCTCAAGGCTAGTGCTCTACCACTTGAGCCACAGCACCACTTCCGGCTTTTTTCTTTTTGCTTATGTGGTGCTGAGGAATCAAACCCAGGGCCTCAGGAATGCAAGGCAAGCGCTCTACCACTGAGCCACCTTCCCAGCCCTTTGTATATAATTTTTAAAATAATAACATTCATCTGAACATTCATGCTCTGAACAAGGCACTTGGCTAATGGTTTCTTAAATGCCGCTGTGTTTATTTCCCATGGTAACTAAAATATTTTAATACTCCTTGTGAATAGAAAACAAAGCTGGGATTCAAAGTCAAGAAATGATTCTCTAGAGCCTTTGCTAATAACCAGGTTCTTTGGCCTGTACAGGTCATTGAAATGCTTTCTTGGATTCATTCTCCCTTGCTGTCTTAGTTCTAGGCAAGTTTATCCAAAGAGAGGCACTAGCAGAAGACTGAAAGCTGAAGGAAATTCTAACTCAGGGCTTTTTCCTACTTTCTGTTTTACGCACCATTTCCTTCACAACTCCCACTTCCCTTCCTCTTTGGTCCCAGATCCTGCTGGGCATGTTCCATATGCTGGTCCTCCGGTGCTCCCTACCGTATCTGCTCATTTTCTAGTGTTCGTGTGTTTACACTCTCATCACCAGTAACACTAAAAACTAAAAAGCAATAGCCTTGAGGGGGAAAAAAATATCAAGGATAGTACCCATGTCTTGAGTTCAAGTCTTAGCAATCTGCACAAAAAATTCTTATTTTTATATCTTCTAAGTATATTTGGATTTCTCAATCTAATCCCCTCGATGTTGTAGGCACTAAGTATACTACAAAGCACTCTCTTCTAAGTATGTAGTCTTTGCCTTTTATTTGCCCTGGCACTCTTCTAGGAAAGAAAAAGACAGAATTGACTCAAAAGTTATTGACAGTACCTCTCAGTTTAAAAAATTCATTTTAGAAAATCACCCTTCATTTAAAGACTTAATAACAACTACACCTCAAATGGATTTTTTCCCATTTCCCTTTATTCTTCCTTTGCCAAAAATCTTCAATTGAGTTTGTAGTAGTGGAATTTTAAATTTTTTGTTTTCCTGGAGGTACCTGTAAAACAAAAGTAAAATGGGTTAAGACATGCAAAAATTTGCTTTGTGAAGTATTAATTTCCCCTTCTAAATATGTTCCAACCGGGACTCAAAACTCCATAGTGTATGGGGCTGGGAAGGTGGCTCAGTGGTAGAGTGCTTGCCTTGCATGCATGAGATCCTGGGTTTGATTCCTCAGCACCACATAAGCAGAAAAATCCAGAAGTGTCATTGTGGTTCAAGTGGTAGAGCACTAGCCTTGAGCTGAAGAGCTGAGGGACAGCGCTCAGGCCCAGAGTTCAGGCCCATGACCCACCAAAAAACAAAAAAAAACTCCATAGTGAATTTTGAGACTTTTATCTATCAGTCCATATTTTCACATATGATTATTCTCAAGATTGTTAGCTAGACACAGAAGAGAGGAAGATTTTCAAAAAGTGCTTGTATCTATGAACGTGTTTCTCACTCTTTGCTATATATATTTTCTTCCAGAATTGCTTAGATAAAGGCAATAAGAAAGGACAGTGAACTTCTCTGAAAGAAGACGGTGGTACATCATATCAAGATAATAAATTTGTTACCATGTTAGCCAATAGAAAATTTTAAATTCTGAAAAACATATGACTGGCCAACACTTTTTAATGATACACATAGGTCGTATAGTAGTGACATCAAAATATTTGATAATGTTTCAGATATAAAGTGTGTAAACCAGCTCTATAAAAATATATGAGCATGTTTAGTTTCATATTTACGTATTGCTAGTAATATTGGTAAATGGTAGCTTTTTACCAATACAAAGAAAAATTTATTAGCCATTTACTTCCAAAGTCAGAGTATTCTAAGCTGCATGAAACCATTAATAGCTTTGAAAGCTTTGATGAATTTTCACTAATAATCTGTTTAATCAGATGATTAGGATGATTGATATGTTTGAAAATACTATTAAGTGGGGCTGGGAAGGTGGCTTAGTGGTAGAGCGCTTGCCTTGCATGCCTGAGGCCCTGGGTTCAATTCCCCAGCACCACATAAGCAAAAAGAAAAAAGCCAGAAGTGGCGCTGTGGCTCAAGTGGTAGAGCGCTAGCCTTGAGCTGAAGAGCTGAGGGACAGCGCCCAGGCTCAGAGTTCAGGCCCCACGACCGGACCCCCCCAAAAAAAATACTATTAAGTATCAGCAAATTTGCATATAGCAAAATTAAATAAGGATACATGATTAGATCCACCACAGAGTTTGCAAAGAACCAAAACAATGAAAGCAATAGCCTTAGTAGTTTTTCTTAAGTCTGATGGTATCGTAATATGGTTTACTAAAACAGCTATATAAATTTTATTTTTGTTACTGTGCTTCCATGCCTGTTGGACTGCTTTTTTATTCACGTTGGTTTTAGTAAGAAATAGTATTCTACCTTTTCAAGTAATAGAGAGTTTACATCTATTTGCATAAACTGTCATACACTGTACTGATTTTACATTGTGGAATTCTTTACCTAAAATTTCAATGTATTACATCCAGAAAAGCAATGTTTTCTGTAGTTACAAGTTACTGATTATGCAAATATTACCTCAAACATACATACACTGGTGTCACACAGTTTCTCTGAAATGTTTCTGTATTCTGGAAACTAAACATTAAATATTTTTCTATTTGAACAAATAGATTTGGGGATAAGAATAATAGGACTTAGTTTGCTTCAATGTTTAGATATGAAAATCTACTTCCTTGTGTCATGAAGACCTAAATATAAAAGGAAATAAAAAATTGCAACTGGAGTTTCTAATTCTCTGGTCTTTTTTCATCTTCTGTTTGTTTTAATACCAACTTCATGTGTATTTAATTTTTTATTGTAAAGTAGATGGAATGAGCAAGTATGGTCATTTTATTTCAGGTAAAAGTCAGAAGTTGCTGCTAGAAAACATGAAGGAGACATTTAACAGGAGTAAGAAATAGGAATTTTACCATATGGGCTGACACCACCATAAATAACAAGAAAAGGGAATGTTGAGATAAAAGAGAACTGAACAAATAACAGCTCCAAGCATATACTCAGAAATACCAAAGTGAAAGCTACATGGGTAAATATACAGATACTGAGTATTTGAGACCTTGGCCTACTCTATAAAAATCAAGTCTAATGTCATAGAGGAAATGCACAGCTTTAGAACTGGAAGAACCAAGATCAAACCCAAGCTTTACCACTTAGTCATGCGATTGCCAACAGGTTTCATATTTGTTAGGCCTCCATTTCTTCATCTCCAAAATGAGAATAAAAAAATTTAGGTCAGGATTACTACATAAATGGGGATAACAGTGATTCTCAAAGTTGTTCTGACAGTGTGGCAAGAAGAGTACAGGTACTCTGAAAAAAAGGGTTTGAAACTGCTTTTGCAGAGATCTTTGGCTGCTTTCCGGATGTGCTACAGAGACCTCAAAACTTTGAACAGTTTCTTAAAGTAGAAACGAAAAGTTTCTTAAAGTAGGTAACATTGACACATAGCCAAGTTTTAACCAGGAAATTTGACTCCAGAGTTTGTGTATTTTACCTCTGTGCCAAACTGTCTTATAAGTTGTATTCTTCCTAATACTTTCATTTCCAGTGATGATGTTTAGCAAATCCTATTATATGAGAAAATATGTATTTCAAGATGTAGTTATACTACATATTTAATTATTCCTTCTCATTGTTAATGACTTCTTTGTCTAGTGTAATATAAATTCAAGCAAAAGACTGTTATTCTTGCCCCTTTCTGTCAGAATTGCATGGGTTGGGCATACTTTCTTCCTAATCACAAATGTGCTTAAAATTCTGGTCCCAGGGAAGCAGCACTTAAGATCTAGCTTAGCACTCTGGAATTTGGCAGGAGTCATCCTTGTTACTTGATCGACTCCATCTTGGACCCAGGTAGGAGTATAACTAAAGATTTCTGATTCCTGAGGAGGCTTGCTTGATTATTTTTTCCCCTCCACCTTCAGCTGTTACTGAGGGTTAATTGGCAATAACATCTCACAAACTTTTATTGCCAGGCTGGCTACAAACTGTGTTCCTCAGATCTGTCTCCTGAATAGCTAGAATTGTAGGCATGACCAACCAGCACCCAGCATTCCTGATTCTTTCCAGTACTTTGGGGAACCTGAATTCCCTTCTAATGAGAGTCCTGCTTCAAACATTTAAACTAGAACTGAATTTAACTACTTTTTGAATCTCCCCATGTCACAATCCTGGCTGGATCTCTAAACATTACCCATTTTTGGTAATTACTTCAATGCCACTCTCTCCTCATTGGACCTCACAGCCACATGTGCATATATTTGTTTTCTCTTATCTCTGTGATTTAGTTTACTTCCCTATTCTCCTGCCAGTGCACACTGCCTTCTCACTGTCCCTCCCAGCTGATGGCCCTTACAAGTCTCCTTACATGTGACATACCATGCATTTAAGTATCCATTATATAGTGAATATAGCGGTACTGGTAAGCATTAACATCTGCTTCAGTATTTACAATGATTTGTCTAAAGCCTAAGGTGTATTTCTTCACCGCTTAGCTTTCCTTTTCCCGAAATCCAGAAAATTCACATATAAAAATGCATTGTTTAACATTTCCTCATTTAGTGACAACATTTTATCACTATCTTCACAGAGATCACTAAGCAAGTGACTACTACACCCTCCTCCTCTAGCCACGTGATTTCTGACACATCAGGAATTTTGGTAGATTGAAATTGGGCCTCCCAGAATACATCTGCTTAATCCCTGAGTAGTGGAAATGTTTTCGTCTATAGCAAAAGATAGGATCAAGGATTTTGACATGAAGAGATTAGCCTAGGTATTGAGTGAGTCATGAATGCAGTCATCAGTATCCTAGGGAGAGAGGGAGAGAGCACTCAGAGGCAGCAGTTGGAATGTTTCCAGAATCTGGAAAAGGCAAGGAACAGATTCTCTTCCATGGCTTCTGAGAGGAGTATGTCCCTAAAAACACCAGTGAACGTAGTAACCTAACTCTTACTTCCTGAACCATATGTAATTAACACAAAACGAATACAGGAATATATAAAACAGGTCTGCAAAGACCTGTAATAAATGTGAGGATGTGTGGAAAACCCTTTTACAACACTTGATCTTCCCCATTAGTCAAATGGGTAAGTCAAAGATTGCCTTAGCCATCTCCTCAATACTGTCTCTCCATTTCTACTACCAAACTATTTACCATCATCTCTCACTTGTACTATTTCAATGACAGCTTGGTTTTGTATCCTAATCACTCATATAAACACGTGCATTATGGGGGCTGGGAAGGTGGCTCAGTGTAGAGCGCTTGCCTTGCATGCTCAAGGCCCTGGGTTCGATTCCTCAGCACCACATATGCAAAAAGAAAAAAGCCGGAAGTGGCCTCTGTGGCTCAAGTGGTAGAGGGCTAGCCTTGAGCTGAAGAGCTGAGGGACAGCACCCAGGCCCAGAGTTCAGGCCCCACGACCGGACCCAAAAAAAAAAAAAACAACAAAAAAAACCGTGCATTATTTTCAATGTAGATTGTGCTATTCCTACTTCATGGAAGTTTTCCAGTTATATACTGTTGCACTTATTATCAAACCCCTGAAGTCTTACCAGTTCTGTTGACCTCCCTGCCTGATTCTTCTTGGAACAAACCATATTCAATCTCCCCCAAAGACTTTTACATATATACCAAATGCTTCTTCTCAGCCCTATCTGAGTTTACCATATTTTATTTCTGGCATAACATTTGTCAGTCTGAAGTCATTTATGTTGTTTTTCTTCTTGTGATTAACAAAGTACACAGTAAATCAGTGGTGCTGAACAGGTAGTGGAGACAGCATCCTCAAGGAATACTTGATAATACCTAAAGGCATTTTTGGTTGTCACAACTAAAATACTATATATGGACAGAGAACAAGGATGCCTCACCCTTCAATGCACAGAATAGCCATTACAGCAGAAATATCTAATCCAACATGTCTATATTGTCAGGGCTAAGCTCCTATAACCAATGTGTGTGGTAGAGGGTTTAGTTGTCATCTCCCACTAAGTTCTTTTATTCACTATTTTTACAGTATTAGGGTTTGAACTCAGGGCCTTGCAAGGCTGGCACTGTACTGTTGAATTACACCTCCAGTCCTTTTTTTATACTGATCATTTTTTAGACAATCATTTCCTACCTAAATGTGAGCCTAGATCATGATCCACACAAGTACGTACCACCGCGCCCAGCTGCTTCTATTGAGATGGGATTCTTCTGCCAAGGCTGGCCTGGAACTACAATCTTCCAGTCCCACACATAGCTAAGATGACAAGTATGTGCCACCACTCCCAGATCTGATGCCCTCGTATTTTACACAAGGTTCTCAAAGATTAACATATTTTCCACATCCTTGTAAGTAGGTGGAAACAAATAGGAATGTCATGTGGTAGCAATTTGATTTTGTTCCTGTAGTGTGCTGCCTGAAACCAGTGGTTCCTTTTTAAGATCATGAGCTTAAACAAGATGGAAGGAAAGTGGAGCCCTGATAACACAGAGCACCT